GGAGACCGAGGTCATGGTGTAGGAGACCGGTGCCAGAATGATGGGGACCACTGGCAGGTGAGTGACCATTGCGACAGTGCCATGGGGGGTTTTCCCCTTGGAGGGGCCTGCCTTCACTGACTCCAAAGTCGAAGGGAGGTCTTGCGATGTGGGTGGCACCAGTAGGGTTATCAGGTCCCTGGCCACCTAAAATGCCTCCGGCGTCGAAGGAGCTAACAGGAGTTGGTGGTGGTTCTCTTTTTGGGCTTGGAGCCTTAAGTGGAGATACTCTGCAGATGGCAAGGGGCCCGGCGAGGGTACTTCACCTGCCACCCCTTTCTTAGGCGCGGGGGAGCGCTCTCGTTCAGCACGCTGCCTTCTGTGTCGCTTTCTCAGCATCAGCGATGGTGAATGGTGTCCTGGTGAGCCCAGTTCTCGTGGAGCTCTCTGTACCAGGGTTGAAGTGCTCGGCACTGAATTAGAGTGGGATGGCTCCAAGGCCAGTCTAAGGGCCACCTCTATTAACAGGGCTTTTAGGCAAATACCACGTCCTCTGTATGCGTTGCCTGAAGTGCCTATAGATCTTGCACTTGTTGACATGCGTTTCCCCCCCGGCCCTTTAAGTAAATTGGGGGGGGGGGGGGGGGAAGGTTGCTCACTGACATGGGCTTTTGACAGGAAGCACACAATTTGAAACCCAGGGACTGTGTCACACCCTGTTCCTGAAACAACGTTCCTGATGGAACCACTATCCTAACTTATCTAACTACTAACACTAAAATATAACTATATACATTAATTATATAATGAAAAAACACTAGGAGCTCTTGCAAGCGGCAAGAGAGAGAGGCGTTCCAGCAACCATCATGGGTGGCAAGAAGGAACTGAGAGGGTGTGGGCCTGGCGGCATCCCATATACCTGCGCATGAGTGTGTGGTTCTAGGGGGTGCCAGAGCCGGACCTACGGATACCACTAAGAGAAAAATCTCCGGCAGCCATGTTCATGGGCACACACACCTAACATGGAATTGACATGAGCAAGCACTCTAAGAACAACTATTTTTAGACAGAAAAATTAATTTTCGGAAAAGCAAAAATTTTCCATGAAAAGCAGACACTCCTCATGAAAACTTTCATTTATTATTTATTTTAAATAAAAAGATAACTCAAAAAGTAAAATATTTTGGCCAAAAGCTGAAATATTTTGCTTTAGAAATGCTACCATGGTGCTTAATGAGAGTTGTAGTTCAGTGATGTTACATCTCGATTCTCTATGGGCCACGCTACCTGGCTGAACTACATCTACCACTTTCCTTTTCCAAAATGGGAGATGTAGTCTGTTCTGGGAGACTGGCCTGTAGAGGAGAATAGCAGCTTGAGGCATGCAAACTACAGCTCCCATGAGATACCATTTTCAAATTGAAATATTTCAGTATTTGAATTTCTGCTCAAAAAGTTAAACTTTTTGTGGAAAAAACCCTCTAACTTTTCAACCACTCTAATCACTATGTATTCACCTCCGAACAAAATCAAAGTGTCTAATAAGTACTCCCAGAAAATAATCTGTGCAATTTAGCCGTGTAAAAGAAGACTACCAGAATTTTCTAGGCGCACTACAAAAACACCAATGAAGGTTTATTAAACAATACGCTGACTGAAAAGAGAATTCAATAATTTGATTCTCCACTGCTGCTAATGGAACAGCTGAAATATTAAATGAGAAGAAAAATATTTATTGACTGAGCCTTGGCATTTTTGGGATCTGCGTAGGGAGTCTGTATGTTTATTCTTGACCGTTAACCATTTTTGTAGAGTGCTGTGTAATGAAACAGATTAAGTCTCCTCTCAGTTTTGCATGTCACAAATGAACTACTGGTCTCAACCTAACTCCTGCTGGATAATGTCCACCTCATACAAGCAACTGACAATCTATAGTTATTTGGCAGTTACTGCTCAGTTTTGCCCTGCTAAGAGCAGAAAAAGCAGAGCTGCTGGAGATTAAGACAAAGAGCAGTCTCCCTCGACTGGGAGAATTTGCAGATCTACTGTCCTCAGGGCCGGCAAAAACGGTAGAGCTGGCCCTGACTGTACTTGCACTGCGGGCCTAATCCAAAGACCAGAGAAGTCTGTGGGAGTTTTTCCATTGACTTCAGTGAGCTTTGGATCATACCCTACAATCTAGCTTTAGCCAGTGTTGTCATTTTGACGAGTGCTACTCGCACGTCTTTACAGGTAAAAAAAAACCACTCATGCAGGCAAACTGACTCTTGCTGAATTTGCAGTCACTTTAAAGCACCACAGAGTACATAATCCTTATTTCTTATATTTGAATTTAGTGTTCAGACTTATGATGCAAACTATAATTATAGGTACAAGGTTATGCAAGTTAATCTACATCAATAAAATAGCCTTTTAAAAAGTGTTGCATTCTAACTGCAAATTAGCACAGGTAATCACCATTTTCAAGAAATATATTCCACTTGCCCCTGAGGGAGCACCAGTACCTACTACCAACAAAGTACAACCACACCTTTTTGCAGAGAAAACATTAAGTATCAGTACCACACACACACACACACACTGTTGGCCCCATATTGATACAACTTAAAATACAAAAAAGCTATATCTAATTCTTTGGAGTAATGAGATTGTCACATTGTCTGGACTGGCTCACAAGCATGAGTGCCAACCTTGGGGCAGACTGTTGAGAAATAGGCAGGGGCATGCACAAAGAAGCCCCCCAATCAGTGGTGGTACAGAACTCCTCTGGGCAGGGGTGGGGAAAGTGAGCTCGTCAGGCCCCGGGCTGGGGCGGGGGGATGACAGCTCCACCAGCCCTGGACTAAATCAGCTACTCTGGCCGCGTGGGGGTGGAAGGGGCGGGGAGAGGAGCCAGCTTCTCCAGCCAAGGTGGAGGATTGGGGGGGGAAGAGAGGCAGCTCCTCTGGCATGGGTGGGAGGAAAAAGGCAGTTCCTCTGGCTGCGGGGGGCACAGAAAGTGCCCCTCCAAAAGCAGCCAAGTTTTTATTCCTGTGCATGCCCCTGGAAGTAGGGCACAAACCCCAAGTTGGTTGTGAGTCCTATACTTAGATTTCACCAACCAAGTAGCAAATATGAACATCTCAAGCACTCATTTTTATTTCCTTCCCCCAGAGTTCAAACTGATGGGAGTGTTCACTTGGAGGTCTCTTCATAGCTGTGTGGGAGGGGAGCAATCAAAAGTCTGTACTTTCATGTTTCACAATAGCTCATTAGCTTTCAATGGGGCCTTCTCATGTGCAAGACCAATACTTCTTTCTTGTTTGGTGAGTTACACAATTACAATGGTTTAAACTGCAAACACTCAATATAACTTTATACCATGGGATACAAATAATATAAGTGAGATTACTACATGCAGTGTCCTGCAATCATTTCATAAACACTAACCACATTCTTATAAACACAATATCTATTTTAACAATGCTAACACGTGAGCCAAACTGTTTTCCAGCTATGCATTTGTCAATGTTCAGTGAGGCCCAGTGGCCTTGGTATGAGCTGGTACTTGGTATGCCAGTGTCACAAAGGTCAATAGACAGTTTCACATTACCAATCGTAATGCACAAGACTTTTTTTTTTTAAATCCCAGCCTATAGCAGGTCTTACCTTAGTATTATTCATTCATTATATCAAATAGTAATCTAACATCTTTACATGAATACTTTACAGATCTACCTTGTGCTACATACACGTGTTTCCTTTCATCTAATCCCACATTTCAACTTGTCTCTCCAATATCTTCATCTGGATATTTTTGCTGTTAAAATAGAAGTTTAACAAGGCCAAAACTGAAACTCTTACCTTTCTTTCGAAGCCATGTCCACTCTTCCCATTCTTTGTCACTGTTACCATCATCTCAATCACTCAAGTCAAAACATAAAATCCATCTTTCAATCTTTCCTCTCCCTTGACACAGACAAGCTGTGTTCAAATTTTGATGTTCCTTCCTGCATAAAATTTGTAACAAACAACATTCTCTATTCACACAACCAGACTGCTTACTCATTATCTGCTGTCTTGACTAGTGTGATTGTCTCCTCTATATCTACAGCTTCCCTATCTCTCACATTGCACCCACTCTTCCCAGGCTATATAAGATGTAGCTACCAAATTAATATTTCTTGCTTGTTCTGACCATGTCTACCCTCTTCTGAATCCCTCCACTTTCTACCCAACCTACCCCTAAAGCTTTTTGTCCCGACTTCCAAGGCCCTTTGTAGCTTTGCCCTTCCCTGAATTTCCATGCTTGTCTCTTCTTGCATTGCTTCTCTGCTCCACCACCAATGCCAGTTTCAACTGCCACTTAGCCACACCTCATACAAACAACTTTGGACTTTTTAATTACCCCTTATGCTTGAAATGCCTCCACCACAATTTGTATGAGGGCCTCAAAAATCTCCTTAAGACTCATTGATAATTTCTTGTAAGCATTGTAAAAAGAAAACTAATAGTTTGCAGAGGAGTGTCACAAGGTGTCCTGGTCCTTTGAGGAGAAACCGTGACATCAGATGAGCCCAGGTCTGACAAGTTAATCCACACCCCGAAAGTACATGTAGTGTAGTTGATGTGTACATAGTCAATTAAAAATATAATGTATGTATGCATAAAGAAAACAGATGGAAAGTGATAACTTGAGTATCAAGCCTCCAAGAAATACAAGAGGGCTGAGTGTAATAAGCAAGCACAATCATCATTACTTTTGTCAAACATCTTTAATGTTTCAATAGTGTTACAAGTAAAATAAAACTGTCTTGCAGTACAGTATTCACTCTTTTGGACAATTTAGAGGACTTAAAACCAAAGTTGACAACAGTTAACAGATACCAGTGTAATACTTAAAGAAAATCCTATAATTACAGATTTCCTCCACTTAAAGAATGCAAACAACAGGATTCTGTAAATGCCATTAGGATGGTGATAAAGTGAATGGGAAAAGATGCAACACATTTAAGAGATTGATTCAGCACATTTTAACCTGACAAAACTCTACCTTCAATGGTCCCTTACAATATACGCTAACTACTTATGCTAAACAATCTGTTCCACCTTGCATTTTGCTGAGATGCTGGGAATATTTTACCCAGATCTTAAGAAGAGCTATGTGTAGCTCAAAAGCTTCTCTTTCTCACCAGCAGAAGCTGGTCCAATAAAAGATATTACCTCATCTACTCTGTCTCTCTAAAACTCATACTGACTGTTTTCAATTCAAGTTTTGCCTGAAAAAAGGGAGCAAGATGGTGCCCTTAAAACCAAATTCTACTCTCTGCTGCACAGGTGTAAATTCCAAGTAAGGTAATACTAACAATAGAATTTGGCTTATGGTGAGTATAATTTACATAAAAAGGAGAATTTTAGGCTGATTCTATTAGCTGCTGTTAACTGAAGGCTCTCTTTGATGTATTTATGTTGCTCCTAATTTCATTTTTATTTCAGGGAATGATTACAATGCAAATGCACATTTACAAGCTCCAACCAGGGCCGTCCTTAGGATTTATGGGGCCCTATGCACTATTATTAAACTGGTGCCCCTATGCCTGATGGCAGCCCAGGCTCGCATGTGTATTTTAGATAAGGGTGGACTTTTTAAGGATTTATTTTAAAAACGGTATGTCTGAAGATCCAAGCATTTAATGCTAAAGATGAATACTCAGATTGTGCATCTAAAGATCTATGCAAGGTTTTTTTTAGAAATGTGATTTTATAATCTTCAGCAACACACTAATGAAATATTTTTAAAGCAAATTTTAAACTAAGGTCCTCTAGACTAACATGTTCTGAGTCAATATTATAATAATGCACAACTGCTTTTGTCAGTAAATTCAGAAACTGATAGGATATAGCTGGGGGTTGACAAATGCCTGTTAAATGGCTTCATTACCACTTGAATGGCTCTTTAACAGTTTCAATGATGTGCTAATAAGAGTGAAAAAGCCTCCAGCTTGCTAGACCTAAGTACTAGATCCCCTCCGGAGGAAGACTCACCAGGCTGCAGCAGCCAGCTGTGGTGGGAGCCTGCAGGAAGGGTCAGAACAGGGATAAGAAGAGGCGGGAGGGTGGACTCTAGGATCCCAGGGATGCCCCAAATTTTCAGGTGCCCTATGCAGCCGCATACGCCTAACGACGGCCTTGGCTCCAACCTTGACAATTTCAACACAATTAAATTCTCTTTAAAAGTATTTTAACACATGGTTCCCCTCTCAACTGCTTTTTTGTTTCCAGGTAAGAACATGAAGTAGCTTTTTCATCGTCAAAGGGAATGTTATTTCAATAACTGATGAATGCCTGAGCCTGGATAGTTAACAATATACTTAATTCAATTTAACTCAGTACATGAAGACACAGCTTTGGGAAAGGCAATGATCAGTGAACTGTCATAATTTATCACAGATTAATTTAAGGCACAATCAGTATTAAAGTTCTTTAAAGCAAAAATTGTACCAGAACCCATAAAAAAATAATCAATTGCATTTTAAAATAGAGTAGCCATGTGATTTTTGTGGGGATATCGGTCTTATTTTCTAATAAGGCCATTGGATAAGTAAAACAATTGTTATGTCCTATTTACACAGTTTTGTTGCATTTTTTAAAAATAGTTGTAAAACTGAATATATATTTAAACAAAAGAGCAAGTTACCAAAAATAGAGAAACAGCATATACCCCCCAAAACAGTTTATCTGGGGGGAAATAAATATTTCTGCACTTGAAAAATACAACCAGGAATTTTAGCATTTATGATAACCTATGATGATTCTTTGTACACTAAAGTAACTGTTAGACTAACACCTGGGAAAACCTTAGTGGTAAGTATCCCCCATTTTAAATTAAGCTATTATTCTGCATTTGCTATACTATTTTCAGTGAGTTTAAGACTGGTGCACTCTACACATTTATACTTACTTTTACTGTAAAGAGTGCAGTAAATTTCAAATACATTAATTACGTCACCCACCTTGTCTCTCTAATATTCTGGGACTGACAAGGCTACAACAACACTGCATTCAAATACATTAAGTTACTTATAGAGTGAAATACTTTCAAATAGTTAAGGCAGTCAGAAAGGCCTTTGTCACCATCTGGCTGGACTACATCACTGCAATCTACCTGCACATAAAGCAGTCAGCCCTCAAGAAATGACAACTAGTACAGAATTGAAGGTGACATCCTATCTTCTTAGCAGCCTGGCATACCACAAGCACAAACCTGTCCTCTTCTCTCTACATTGTCTACCCATAGAATACAATGTCAAATTCAAGGGATTGATTCTTATCTTCAAAGCTTGCAATGGCCTGAGTCCAAGTTACCTAAATTGTTGCCTATAGCTCCAAATAAGAAGCATGATTGACAACTCTTTTCCTCAGCAAAACAGATTTATCTACCACAAAGGAAAAGCCTGTTTGTGCAGGAGATAGATCTTTCTTAGGAACTGTGAAACAAACTCTTGCTGGGTCTAAAAACAACCACAATCCCCATCACTTTCCATGTCCAAGTGAAAGGAGAGCTTTTCTGACTTTACCTTTGCTAATACAAAGAGATAGTGATATGTATATATAACATATTTAAATTTTTTAAAATTCCTGGGGACAGGGAGACTAGAAAGAGCCAATGTGACAGATATTTATGTCGCTTAATGCACTTTTGCAGCTGTGAAAACAAGTTCACCATTTTTTAAACATTTAAGATGTCCATGGTTAAAACTAAAATGACATTGTTAAGTGATAGGTTTCAGAGTAGCAGCCGTGTTAGTCTGTATCCGCAAAAAGAAGAACAGGAGTACTTGTGGCACCTTAGAGACTAACAAATTTATTAGAGCATAAGCTTTCGTGGACTACAGCACACTTCTTCGGATGCATATAGAATGGAACATATATTGAGGAGATATATATACACACATACAGAGAGCATAAACAGGTGGGAGTTGTCTTACCAACTCTGAGAGGCCAATTAATTAAGAGAAAAAAAACTTTTGAAGTGATAATCAAGCTAGCCCAGTACAGACAGTTTGATAAGAAGTGTGAGACTCCTCCGGACGGTCGAAACAACAGACTGGATTTCTACATAGATTGCTTCCGTCGACGTGCAAAGGCTGAAATTGTGGAAAAGCAACATCACTTTATTAATATCATT